TTCTCCCGTTAAAAAATTGATGAGCCTCCAAATTTCAAGTTTATATATGTACATAATCACAAAAAGAACGTGTAAATATCCGCAAAGGCTTTACAAAAACAGGCCAACATAGCACTCATTGCAAATTCTACAGACTGTACCCCCCACCTAGTGATATTCCTATTTACATGTTTATCTTAGAAGCATAGTTATTATGCAACGCATTCTGCTCGACACGGCACTAGCTCAAAAATTCAAATCGCGAGCGATCAATAATTTCTAAGTTTTTAAGTATAAAATTTATATTTGTTAGCACCAGAAAAGGCACTATCTATAAAAACTTAGTTTCGGAATAAAATTATGACAATGTGCGCAGATAAAATGAACAAGTTTTTTAATAACGTAAGCAGGAATGGTCTTTTTAAGGCAATAGTTTGTGATGTTCTGAAATTAATGGTCAGCTAGAAAAAAGGCCGTGAGAAACCTCCCACGCTGAAAATAGAGGAGAGTTCAACGGTATTCCATTTTGAAAAAGAATCAAGGATAAAATCTGCTAAGGAATATAAAAGAAGGCTAAGGCTGCAGTAGCCGTTCAGAAGGGGAAAATGAAATATGTGTTAAGTTTGCTCGTGGTCGCTAATGCGCATGACATAAACTGTCACGATATAGCGTGAGTTGACATGCGGCCTCGACACCTTCGGAGCCAGAACGGAAGTCTTGTGAAGGTTATTAGCCAATTAAACGGTTGCAGATTAGACCTAGTATGTCCACATGACTTACATCACTTGAATGATTGACGGTATGAGACATGGTAGTTCCCGGGGAACACGGGGTAGGGAAAAAATAGTTTCATGAGGATCACTTCAGTTACCGATGATCCTTTCTCGAAGTCATGGAGAAGGCTGCTTGGAAACAGGTGAAAAAATCATTTTATGAAGTGTGGTCCATTTCCCATACTTTTAACTTCTTATTTCTCACACCTTGCATTCGCATGCTCATATTATTGTGGCCATTCTCTCCTTTTGAATTTTTATCCTTCCACCATATATCGGTTACACCTCCTGGATACTTGAGTCTATTTAAATCAATGAAGAATTCAAATTTTACTTGTAACAAGCTTTGATGCTGTGTGCGGTGAGTTTACTAACTGAGAAGTAGAAAACGCCTCGAATACTGTGCACACACCAACTCTTTCTGCGACTGTTCTGTGAGTATGTCTCTGATGCTGAATCCGCGACAGATTTCGAAACGTCAGGCGAATAAACATATTGTCCCAGCGATCGAGTAGTCTTCTACTTCTCAATTACTCCCTGGGACTCTCATGTTCTCTTGTATTAGCAGTTTACTAACTCTTATTTCCGCCTAACTGTCCAGCAATTACCTTGGGTTCTAGGTACTGGGAAAAGAAAATGACGAACGCACATCAAGTCATTTATAATTCAGTAATTCGTGAAAATTCAGTATACATAAAGGAGATAGGTAGAGCCTTTGGAAACTCTACTTATAGATAGATTGTCGAAAATTATGTTTATATTTCAGAGCAATATATGGCTAAGGCTTTTTTGCGAATTAGACAGTAAATATGCAGCATGACCGTCCAATATACTGGCGGACGTTTTAATGTTTTTTTT